TGAGCCAGGATCACGCCACTGAACTCCAGCCTGGGTGACAGAGCAAGACTCCAACTCAAAAAAAATTAAAACAAAACAAAACCAAAAAACAGAGGTCAGATCATGCTTTTTGTGCTCACCCAGAGCCAAAGACCTCACAATGGCCCTGCGGGACCCTCTATCACCCAGGAGCCCTTGACGCCTGACTCCTCCAGCCTTGCGTCTGACTCTCCCCTCCCTCACTCTGCAGAGGCACCGCTGGTTCCGGCTACTGTTCCCTGGGACTCTCCTTCCTCAGGGCCTGTGTACTTGCTGTCCTGGAAATGGTCATTCTCCAGATAGCCCCACGATTCACTCTCGTACCCTTCTCAGGGGCCTCTTTGAAGGTCACCTCTCAAGAGGCTTTCCCAAACCACTCTATTTACAACTGTCACCTCCTCCCTGGCCCCCATGCTCCCAGGTCCCCATCTACCTCTCTTGCTTTTCTCCACGGCTCTTAGCCCTCCTCACACCCTCCCTCCACTAACATGAAAGATCCCTGAGGACACATGTTTTTGTCCCCACTGTTCTCAGCTGTAATCCAGCACCCAGAACAGTGCTCCATGCATGTAATAAAATCCTGGAATAGTGGGACCCTGGCCTGGTGTCATTCGGAGGTAAGTTGCCTGTCCCATTCTCATGTGGTTACATGGCCAGCAATAGATTCCTAGCAATAGATTTTATGGGTCCTGCCTCTGGGACTGATGGCTGGGCTTAGGGCCGCATGAAGGTGGGGGCCGGGGGCCGGGGCCCGGGGCTACGGGCTTACAGGATTCGAGCCATCTCCTCGTGCAGGTCCTGCAGTGAGCGCAATAGGCCGGGCAACAGGCGCTGGTGGTGGTGCTGGTGATGCAGCTGGGCAGCCCGCACGCCCAGCACGTAGCGGTTGTGGTGGGCAAAGAGCTTCCACAGGCTGCGTACATACTTGTCCTTGGCCTTGTCACGGTCCTTGTCTGCCAGATGGGGGTCAAGGGGTATAGATGACAGCATGGAGGCAGCCCCCACTATCTGTTGACCTGACCCCCAAAGACAGGTCAGTACTGGCTTCCAATTCCCTTACTGCCAGCGAGGGAAGCCACAAACCTTTGCTGGCCTCCTGGTACTTGCGCTTGGCATTAGCACTGTCCCGTGCCAGGGCTCGATACTGGCTCTTCAGCTTCTCAATGTCCTGGCTGTGGGTCTAGGGAGAGAGAAGAGGCCAGTGTGGGGGGAGCAGGTCCCCAAATAAGGAAGGTTCTTGCCTGGGATGAAGCCCTGGAAAGGTCCTGTCACCAGCAAGGAGCACCTGGAGACTTCTGGGAAAGCTGGCTGCTAAGCTGAGGGTCAAAGGTCAGAGGGCCTGTTAAAGACAAGCCCCTTAGGGAGGCAAAGAGGTGGACTACAGGCTACAGCCGTCCCTCCTTGGTCTGGGAGCAGTAGCCCGGTGGTAGGCAGGGCCAGCTGCAGGTGTGTGCAGCCTGTGCAGTCACACACATGCAGGGCGTCCACATGTAGACAGGCCCTGTGCTGGGTCTCATGCCCCATTACTGCCACACCTTGAAATTCTTAACAATCTTTTAACAAAGAGCCCCACAATCTCATTTTGTGCTGGGTCCTGCAAATTATATACTTGACAGTAGAAACAGATGAGAGCTGAGACCAGAGTCTCACCCCAGTTCTCCTGTTTATGTGCTGGGATACATTGGGCAAGGCCCCAACCTCAGTTTCCCCATCTGTAACTGAGCTAAAGACCTTGACTAAATTAGTCTTTTTCTTTTTTGTTTTCTTTTTTTTTGTTTTTTTTTTGAGACAGAGTCTCACTCTATCCCCCAAGCTGGAGTACAGTGGCACAATCTCAGCTCACTGTAACCTCTGCCTCCCAGGTTCAAGTGATTCTCCTGCCTCAGCCTCCCCAGAATAGATGGGACTACAGGCGCACACTACCACACCTGGCTAATTTTTGTATTTTTAGTAGAGATGGGGTTTCACTATATTGGCCAGGCTTGTCTCAAACTCCTGACTTCGTGATCCACCTGCCTGGGCCTCCCAAAGTGTTGGGATTACAGATGTGAGCCACCACCCCCAGCGGATCACTTTCTTTCCTAAATGGCCGGATAGTAAATAAATATTCCAGGCTTGTAGGCCATACCGTCTCTATCCTAATTACTCAACTCCGCCATTGTAGCCACCAACAGCATGAAAACAAAGAGGCAAAGCTGTGTTCCAGCAAAATCTGATACAAATAGGCTAACCCTCAAATTCGAGATATCTTTTGGGGAGAGGAGTAGGGCCAGGGCTGACACCAGGGGCCGCTGTGGGTCCATGGCAAGGCTGGGCTCTGCACTTGAGGAAGGGGTGTGGTGCAGGGAGGCTGACCCACACACTGAATGGGGGTACTGGGCTCCCAGATAAAGAGCCAGCTCCAAATCACACAGCCCCTAGACCAAGGAGCTGGTGGGAGTCAAACCTGACATCACAGCCCGAGTCCTTGGTCTTCAGGGGGCCATGCTGCTGCCCAGTCTCTGGGGCCATGTGAGGAGCCTGCCTAGGTCGAAGGCAATGAGACTGACCCTCTTATTCCTCTCCATGACTCTCAGAACCCGGGGCCAGGTGGCCCAGTGTGGAGGCAAGCACCGATTCTGAGCTTCTCATAGGCAAATGTCTAGCCACTCATCCTTCCATTCCCAGCACTTTGCCCAGGCACAGAAAGAGCACAGACACCTTGCTGCAAGCAAGCCCAACGTGGGGGGTGGGGGGCGGGGGGGTGGGGAGAGGAAGCTGCATCAAGGTTGGAGCAGGCCAGGCCTGTGGTCAGGGACTTCCACTTCCCCAGTGAGTCCACCGACTCTTGTGCAAAACCACCCCTTGGAGGCTCAAAATTTAGACAGAAGTGACCGAAGTCCTGTGCCGCCCACCCACCTTGGTGAGCTCCTGCTGCAGCTGCTGCCACTGCTCGCTGTAGGTCTTGCGAAGCTGCTGCCGCTCCCGGATGAGCAGGCTCAGCTTGCTCAGGGGCCCTGAGTTCAGGTCCTCTGCGTGCTGCCGCAGCAACCGGCTCAGGCCCTCTGTCTGGCTGGTGATCTCCGCCCAGGACTAAAGCACAGGAAAGGGGAGGCAGGGAGGAGGGGACCATGGCTCCCAAGCCTGGGCCTGCCAAATCTCCAACCGCTCCTCCAGAGGGCCCCCAGGAGAGGAAGGGGAAGGCAGAGCCAGCCAGCACCCACAAGAGTCCCGCAGAGGCCCACCTGGCTGATGGGGCTGTCCAGAATGCCCCGGCTCTGGCCCCCGCCGTCCTGCAGGGACATGTGGTGAAGCAGCCCGGCATATTCCCTGTCACTCTTGACCCGCTGGGCCATCCACTTCCTCATGCCCTCCAGGAGCCGGAGCTCAGCCTCCTGCATCTGCTGCAGGACCCCATGGCCCTGGGGGCTGCACAGCTCCGAAGAGAAGCCCATAGTGCGGGCCTGGGGACAGAAAGGGGGCTAGCCGTCAGGGTGAGGCAGCAGCTGGAGACGCAGGCGTCGGACGAGGAGGCTGGGACTGGAGGATTGGGATGGACTGCAGATGGGGGAAGGTGGAGTCCTGCCTCGTTCACACACAGCCGGGGGTACACAGCAGCAGCCTGGCCTGGTCACTGGCCCTCATTGCTTCCCGAGCGCCAGAGGTCCCCTCCCCCATCCAGGAACAGGAGCCAACCTGGATCCTCCCTCCCCAGGCCCTTCCACCCACCACCTTTTACAGGGACACCCTCTCCCAGGTCCTCGACAGGCTAAGCCTGCACCAGCTGAATCCTCAGGCGGCTGTGAGCCCTGCCCCTGCGGCCATCCCGGCCTTCCGCGGTCCCTACCCGTACCCGGTGCGTCTCCGGCCCTCAGAATGCCCGCCTGGCCCCTGCCCGCCGCGCCCCCCCAGCTATTCCGGGCCCTGGGGCTGGCGTTACCCGCGCGGGCAGCTGCTCCTGGGGCGGCCTCGGACAGACTCAGGCCCGGTGCCGACCCCGGCCAGTTCCTGATTCCGCGCTTCCTCCTCCGTGGTTTCAGTTGGCCTCGGCCCTGGGGCGGGCCTGGAGGGGAAGGGGCGGGCAGGAGCTGCTCGACGGCCTCGACGCCTGCCAGCCCCCCTGCTCCGCGCTGGGCCACAGCCTCCAGCCGGCTGCGCGGCCACGGAAACGGAAGGGAGGAGGGGGCCGGGAAAGAATGGCTCAGCTGAGCGCCGCCTGCGCCCTGCAGCCCCTGGGCCCCGTAGCGCCCCGGGAACACCGGGAAGGGGCGCAAGGTGGGGGCGGCGTTGCAGGGCAAGGCCCCAGGCAGATGCTGGACCCAGGGAAGCCGGGGGTGTCGGTGGCTGAGGGGAGGCGCGCAGTCCTAGCACCAGGCCTGGGCCACCGCAGGAGAGGACCAGGGAACCCTGGGCCAGCTCTCCCCACCTCATGGTATTCCCTAAGGAGAGGCTCAGGCGCCAGCTTCTATTTGAATAAAATTTCCAAGTAAATATCCCGAACAGAGGCTGCTTCTCAGGGACAGGCCCTGGTGGCTCCGACTCCATCCTCCTACCCCCAGGCAGGGGCTTCCTGTCCTAAGGGAGGCCTAGGGCATTCAGAGGGCAGGGGCTGGTGGGTGGAGAGGTGCAGAGTTTTCCATGTGGGACTCTGGCTTCCCCTAGCAAGTAGTCTTGGTTCAGCTAGGCCCCCGCTTTAGGCCTCAGCCCCATAGCCCTGGCAGCCAGGTCACTTCAGCCCAGGAAGGCACAATATGCCCAGTTGCTCTTCACACTGCTGGAGACAAGTCCTTTGGAAGTGCTCTCTGCTCAGCTCCTAAGGTTCAGGGGTCACCGGCCCCACCCCAGGGGGCTGCCTCCTTCCACTAGGGCTGGTACAACCTCCAACCCCTTGGAGGACTTTGGCCGTCTGACTCAAGCCCACATCCAGGCAGGCTGGCCACTGCGAAGGCCTAACTGGCCCCCAGCCGCCATGAAGGGGCAATGGTACCACACTGGAGACTGGCCCTGGTTTGCATAGTCTGCACGTTTAATCACTTTAAAACCTCTAACATTATCTCGTGTCCATTAAATAGAACCAACAATGCTGGGCCTGTTTAAATTACAAGAAAAAAATCACTGTGCACCAACCCAGTGTCTTACAAAACCAGCCGGGCTGGCCACGAGGGTGGGGGGATGGGAGGAGGGGGCACCCCTGGGCAGGTGGCTGGGTACCAGGAATGGCTAGGGGAAAGAAAAGGGGGCTCCCAGGTTGGAGGGGACTGATTGTCCTAATGGGAGGGGTGCAAAAGGCACGTCAGAAGAGGGGTTTTGGGGGGCTTGCCAGGTCAGTGCTTTCTCCACCAGGGCACAGTGTTGAGGGGGCTGAGTGTCACCACCTGCCCACCCCTGGCACTTGGAGAGCCAGTGACCTCTGGGCCCTTGGCTTGGCGAGCCCCACTTGAAAACAGATGTCAGCCTGCCCTCCCACCAGGGGACCCCCTTTCCTCCAGCCCACCTGGCTGGCCTGCCTCTTCAGGACTTGGGGCTCAACTTTTCCTCACTCCTCAGAACATGCTGCAGCCCCCACAGCTCAGGGCCAGGGCAGCCAAGGAGGAGCATGGTGGACGGTGGGTGTGAGAAGGTGGGTAGTCCAGCTGCTACCCCCATTAAAAATACAAAACAAATCATCAGCATCTAAAGTGAAATCATCACAAAGTGAAAATATATCCTCAAACAGCCCCTGAGATCCCCACAGGGGAAAGCAGCATCGGGTGGGAGGCCAGAGAGGCTGGCTGGGCCACCGCCCCTCCCCACCACCCACCCAGGGGCTCCAGGTCTGTGAGTGCCAACAGCTCAGGCAGCCCGGGCTCAGAAAACAGGGACTTGGGCCCCAACCAGAGAGGCGGGTGCAAGAGAAGGGAGGGTGGCGAGGACACCAGCACAGGGTTCTGACAGCTTCCGCCTTAGCTGTGCCAACCTGGCAGCCAGTGGTTGTGGAGACATGGAGCACAAGGTGGGCCAGGGGACACTGGCCACGTGCACACCCAGAGGCACCTGCCTTGCCTTGGTCCCTTCCTATGATGGCTGCTGCCGCCAAGACTCACTAGAGCTAGGGGACAGGGTGGAGGATGCGAAAGCCCTTGGAGAGGTGGCCTCCTCCCACAAATGCCTCCCAGGCCAGCCTCCCAACTGCCTGGATGGGGACCATTATTGCTTTAGAGGGACAGGGAAGGGCAAGAGCGGTGGCCTGGGTCAGGAATCCCAACAAGCAAGGGCTGCCCATCTTCACTCCGCAGGAACTCTGGCTGTGGCCGGGGCTGGCTGCCCTGAAGGTTTCACTCCTTTCTCCACATGGAGGGGGCACTGAGGGTAGGATGGGAAGCAGTCTCCACCCCTCTTGCCTCCCAGCTGGGGTCCAAACCCAGTCCCAAGATAAAAAAATACTTTGGTGAATTAAAAAGTGCCCAAGGAGGGGATTGGCTTGAGGGGGTGGGCAGTGGGCTCATCAGAGGGCGCTCTGGTCTTTGATAAAGGCGGTCCTCTCGCCCCGGCCCTCATCCTCTTCTGAGTCGGATGGACACTCCTCCTGCCAGGCTTCAGGGGGCAGCCCCTTATAGGAGATGAGGCCACGGTCCATGGTGTACACCTTCACCCCCCGGAAGCTAAAGCCAGAGCGCAGCTGCAGGACCAGGAAGACAGTGACGAAGACCAGCACGATGAAGGCGCAGCTGAGGCCGGCCACCACCTCAGGCAGGTGAGAGGGCAGCAGGCCTGCCCGCAGCCGCGGCTCCTCCTCCACCTCTGGGGGCAGCCGGGGTGGTGGCTGCTGCTCTGGCGGGGACTCTCGGCTGCTCTGGCTTTGCCGGGAGCAAGTTTGCTCCACAGGGTCCAAAGAGGCGTGGCTGGGGCAGCTGAGGCAGTCTGTGGGGGCCGGTCCCTGGCATGTGGCACATGAGGCATGGCAGGGGGCGCAGATGCTGGCCCGGATGGTCTCCACATCATTCTCGGTGCTATAGTGTGTATCCAGAACTTGGGGGGCAAAACCTGGAGGGCAGTGCTGCACGCAGCTCTTCTGGTGCAGGGAGAAGCCTTCCTCACACACTGTCGGCGTAGGAGAGAGGGTGAGTGTGTGTCAGCTACAGAGACTGTAGCCATAGGGCCACAGCTGCCCCAGGGCAACTCACCACACCCCCAGGCTTCCCCAGCCCCAGGACTGTGGTTATCCCAAGCACCCCAGGTCTCTTGAGACCTTTTTCTCTTAAAGCTGGGATTCAGGACAAGCACCCGCCTTCCCCCTAGACTCAGGCCCCCAAAGCCCAACAGTACCCACTACTGACCCACACAGGCCTGGCTGGATGTGAGGGTCTTGCAGCCGCTGCTTTCAGGAGGTACAGGCAGCCCCTCAGGAGCTGTGCCATAGAGCACGAGGGTGAACTTGGTCAACGTCCCTATTCCAGAGAGGGAAGTAGGCAAAAGTGGGATAGTGCTGGCACCATGCCCAGCGCCCCAGGTCCTGCCAGCCCTCCTCGTACCCCTGCCCCTCAAGTGCCCCCAGTACCATAGTTGTTGGCTTCACTGGTGTTTTCAATCTCTAGGATCCACTCGCCAGAGGGATCTTCATCCCAGGCGTGAGTTGTCATGAAGGCCCAGTCATTAAACCCATCTGCGGAGTAGTCATGCGGCCTGGGAAGGGGGGTGCCACAGCCCTCTGAGGCCTCTGGGGGACCCCAGGCCAGGGACACCTCACCCACAACACACAGGACACACACCCTTTCCCCACACAGACCAACCCCACGGGGCCGGAAGCGCCTGCTGGCTTGGCTGTTTCTCAGTGAGCCAGATGTGCTCAATGGGGGATTCTAGAAAGGTACAGGCACCGGACAAGGTGGGGCACACTACAGACGTTAAATGGGGGCAAGCCAGGGATTCCTGCAGCCAATAACGGTCCCCCGGGACAAAGCTGTCCTTCCTGAAATGTCACGAGTGCCCCCTGGGCCATGTGAGTGAGCGAAGGCAAGTCTGCAGGCTGTGAGGGAGGTGGCGCTGGGCAGGGCGGGCAGGGGCAGAGCAAGCACCTGGCTGCCAGCAGGGTGGAGCGGGTGCCCATGGGGCTGACCAGGTGGATGGCCAGGTCGCCACGGCGATTATAGGACAGTGTGAGCCGCGCCTGAGCGTGCTCCAGCCGGGTGATGTGGTTGGGCTCGCCCAGGCAGGCAGTCACAGTCTTCCGCACCTCGAGCCGCTTCCCGATGTCTCTGTGCAGGAGAGCACTGTGAGGGTCAGCCAGGCCTGGAGGGACCAGCGGGTACCCCCTGCGACTCTCAGGTCCCACCGGCCCCCTCCCAGCCAGGGGCCAGCCCTCACTTGGGCTCGGTGAGGATGTCAATGATGCACTTCCGCTGGGGGGGCACTGTGGTCCAATTCCGGGCCAGGGCGACCATTGCGCCTGCATCCAAAAGCCCGTAGCCATATGAGTGGCTCACTGTGGGGACAGGGAAGGTGGGGACAGGGAAGGTGGGGTCAGCGGGGGGCACAGAGGGCCTTCCACCGAACTCCACATCCCGCTGCCAGGCACTGCAGCCTGCCCTCACCTTTCCGGCCTACGCCATTGGTGGCCCAGTCGTTGGCGTTGAGGTGGGCTGGCTTCGAGGTCTGGACCACCAGGTGCTGCATGTCCCGCCATGTGAGGTTCTTACTACAAAGAAGGGAGAGGTCAGGGATCAGTCTGTTTTGAGAGCGGCACAGAGAGTGCCAGGAGGGACAGGGTTGCCCCCAGCCCCCACCCACTTACTTGGCCTCCAGGGTGAGGGCAATAATGCCGGCTGCTAAAGGGGCAGAGGCTGAGGTGCCTGTGTGAGACTCCGTGCACTTCTGCCGCAAGTCAGTCGTCACCTGCCCAGAGAAGAATCGTATTGGGGCCTGCGACGGGTGGAGGGGGCTAGAGGAGCCGCCTGCCTGCCCTCCTCTGCCTATGGGCCCTGGGCCCCACAGATTGTATGCTGAGCCAGGGCCAAGACCCTTGGGTCCCAGCTACTGCCTTGCTAACTTGCTGTGGACAGGCTAATGCCGAGCCTCTCCTGGGCCTCAGTTTCCCAAGGAATAAGGGGGTTCAACTAGAGGCTGGAGATGAATAAGAACAATGTATGTTTTTAGGGAGAGTCTAGGCTCTCCAAAGGCTTCAGAGATGGCTCCATGGCCTCCAAGAACCTTGAGAGCCCCAGAGTTCACATTCCGTGATGCCTGAGCCACTATCACCCAGCCGCATGGGGGTGGAGGCAGATGGTGTCCAAGAGGGTGCTGGGCAGAGCCAGGCAGCAGCCCCATTTTCCCAGCCCCAGCCCCAGGCAGGACTCACGATCTGCTTCTCATTCTGGTTGCCGCTGCTGTAGGTCGTGGCCAGTGTGGACGAGCAGGCCTCGCTGTACCAGGGCACGTTGCCGAGCTGTGTGGCGCTGCTGATGGACAGCGTGTAGATGCTGTTGGTGTAGCCGTCGCAGTTGCAGCTGTCATGTTCCCGGCCCCCGTTCCCCGAGGCCCAGACAAAGATGGAGCCCAGCCCCCCTCGGCCCTGTGGACAGAGTGGGCTGAGGTCATTCAAGATTGGGACTTGAGGGATGGCTGGCAGGAGGAAGCTGCTGGAGGACTAGGAAGGCTGGAGCCTCTTTCTCTGGGAACCTCCTGTCCCCTGTGAGATCCCTGTCGGATCAAGTAGGTATGCAAATATGTCTGTCTATGCGCACAAAAAATCAGATCAGGAGGCCAAGGCAGGAGGATCACTTGAGGCCAGGAGTTCGAGACCAGCCTGGGTGACATAGCAAGACCTCATCTCTAAAAACAAATTTGTTTTTTAATTAGCCAAGTACAAGTGGTGCAGGCACTTTACTCTTCATCTGTCTCTTACTGTTTCAATAAATGTGCTTTGTGTAAAGTTAAACGCGAGAATAAATAAACCAAAAAACACAAGAAAGACAGCTCCGGAAGACAGCACCCAGCCTGCCCCCAGGGGCAGGACAGATGCCCACCTCACCTGGCTAACCCCCCGGAAGAAGGCCTCCTCGGCGAGGCGGGCTGGCCCATCCACTGTCTTGCCATCATCCTCGGGGCCCCAGCTGGCACTGTAGATGTGGATGTGGTTGGGGTTCAGGCCCAGCGAGCGTGCCTCCACTGCATCTGTCACCTCGCCATCCAGCATGCGCACCCCTGGCCATGAACGGGGACACGAAGGGGGATGTTGCGTGGGTCTAGCTGTCGGGGCCCCCACTCCAAGGGGCACTCCCAGCCCTGCACCCCTGTGGATGAGCAGGGGAGGGTAGAGGCTGATGCCGGGAAACCCTGAATGCCTAACTACCTGTTTGCCCCTGCCTTTCAAAGACAAGACCCAGAGAAGAGAAAAGAGAATGGCTTCTGCCCCCAGCCACACATTCTGGACTAGAATGAGTCTCTGATTCCCACAGGAACCTGGTGATCAAGGCCCTGCCACGTGAGGACTTGGATGGGTTGTGAGGATTTCAGGAGACTCCTGCTGGGTAGGAAACACCCACTCCACAGGAGTCCAGCTTTTTGAGTCACTATAACAGCCACATGGTCAAAGGATCCACTTGAGAAAGTGGCAGGCATTGGCCAGATGGGAATCGGGCAGGGAAGAATCCCACTGAAGGGCCCTCCTGAAGATGGGTGACCCAGGCCCACACTCACCTCCAATACGGGCGTTGTAGGCCACACCTACACCACAGACACCATTATTAGCCACCGCAGCCACTTCGCCCGCACACCGTGTGCCATGCCTGCCAGGGCCAAGCGCATACCATGAGCAGGACAAATGGGGTGACAGGACCTGGCAGGGAGGCTACAGGAGCAGGAGGGATCCGCACCTCCAACACCCATCACCCTGAGTGCACAGCCCGTCTCCCACGTTCCCCTGGGCCATGGCCATCCCCACTCTGACCAAGACCTGCCTCAGAGCCCCAGGTTGGCCAGGACTGTGGGGAGAGCCTCAGCCTCTTGGGCAGGGCACATCAAGCTCAGGCTCAGCCCTGTTCCTTAGTGGAAGGAAGGAGAAGGGAGGCAGAGGCCAGGGGCCTGCCACTTTTACCTGTTATCGTTCATCTGTGTGTAGCGAGGCTGGGGGTCAGGGTCCTGGTCATTGACATCAAAACTGGCCCCAGGATCCTAAGAAGGATTTGGCCACCATCAGGAGCAGGCTGACATCACTGATAGAACAGAAGAGCCCCTCAACACCCCTCACCAGAGATCATGGCCTCCCTCCCCCACCTGCTCACATAATTGCCTGCCAAGTCTGGGTGGTTCTTCTCGATGCCGTCATCCAGAATGGAGACCACAATGCCGTGCCCCGTATAGCCCTGTGCCCAAGCCTCCTTCACATTCAGGTCTCGCTGAGTGACACCAGACTGTGGAGACACACACCCTATCACTTATGAGACGAAGTTAGTTGTGTGAGGCTCAGGGTATCTTGAAGAATCCCCCTTGCCACTCTAAAACCTCCTCCTATACCCATCCCTGCTCCTGAAAGGCCACCACTGCCTGTCTGGGCTCCATGGGAATGTTGAGAACTCTGAGAGGGCCACCCCCAGGCTTGCACATTAGGATGGGCCAGGGAGAGAGGGCGCAGCAGGAGGAAAGGAAAAGAATCCGAAGTCAGCCTCCTCCATCCAGGAGCTCATGGTGGGTGGATGGTGCATCTGGGAAGGGTCCCAGCAGCCAAGAAGGCCGCGTACCAGGTACCACTGCTGTGGAAACTTGGGGTCTGTGGGCTCCTGGTACACGTCCCGTTTGGTCCGTCGCTTTGCCACCTGCTGCTCCAGCCACTGTACCTGCAGGGGTGTGAGGGAGAGATGCTGTGGGTGGAGGAGGTGGCAAGAGGGGCTCCTGACAGCAGGAGTGGGAGGGTGGCAGCAGGAGGGGACTGGGGCCACACTCACTTGAGGCTCCCTCTGCAGCCGGCTGTGCCGCGGGCGGTGAGGAGACAGAGACCGCTTCGTCACTCCTCGATGCCAGAAGTGATAATAGTCGCCGAAGATCTGCAACAGAGCAGGGAGACTGAGCTGGGCTTTCCATCTGTCAGTCCCCAGGGAGGCGGGGGACGGGGGTGGACAACGGCTGCACAGGAGGCTCGCCACGGTGCGGGGTGTGGGGCATCTGTTCCCAGTCCAGGACCCAGCAACATGCAGGGACTGTGAGGACTCACTCTCACTGGGATATGCTGCTTGCCTGAGCCACCTGTGCTAAAAGCTCATGGCCACCCAGAACATGCCAGCTACCCAGATGCCCCAAGCAAACAAGGCCAACAGTTCCTGCTCCCCGGTGCCAGAATCCCTGTCTTCCCTGGCCCTACCCCCTGGCAGTGTCCTGTGCCTAGGCCAGCAGCCCAGGTAAGAATACCTACCTGGCCCAGGTTGAGAAACCCATGCTTTCGTGCCACATTGTTGGCCACCGCGGGGCCTCCAGGGATGCGCACAGCCCACGTGTTGGTGAAGACCTTCTGGCCCTGAGCATCAGCTGCCAGCAGGACCAAGGTTCCTGCTGCTGCTACCACCCATAGCAACCAGGGCCTCAGCTCCATGGGGGGGCAGGTGGCTGGGACCCTGGAGCGCCCGTCTCCTTGGCCTGGTCACAGGGCCTTGGCTCCCACGTGCCTGCTCACTGCCTGCGGCCCGGGGCTGACTGGTGGGGGCATGGGGCCGAGACGGGCAGGGCTCCAGAGGGTGAGGAGTGCCAACTCTGTGGGGAACAAGAGGGGAAAAGGGGGAAGAGGGTCATTTCCTCCTCTACCATGCACTATAGCTGCCCTGCCCACCCCTAGTTTCCATCAGGGCCTGAAATGAGATCTGGGGGAGAAGTGTAAAAAAATTAGTCCTCCCCATAAGAAATCTAGTCCCCGAGGCCAGCCAGATGGACAGAAGGACACCCTCACAACCCCACCTAATCCTTTCTCCACGAAAGAATGTAAGTGTAACTGAAAGGCCAGGGGCCGTGGCTCATGCCTGTCATCCAGCACTTTGGGAGGCCGAGGCAGGCGGATCACCTGAGGTCATAACTCCGAGACCAGCCCAGCCAACGTGGCACAACCCCATCTCTACTAAAAATACAAACATTAGCCGGGTGTGGTAGCAGGTGCTTGTAGTCCCAGCTACTAGGGAGGCTGAGGCACGAGAATCACTTGAGCCCAGGAGGTAGAGGTTGCAGTGAGCTGAGATCGCGCCACTGCACTCCAGCCTGGGCGACAGAGCAAGACTCTCTCTCAAAACAAACACAAAAGTATAAGAGAAGAAGCAGGATGAAGACTATGAAGGCCTGAGTCACTCAAAATCAGAAATAACAAATGAATAAATATTCCCCACGATGAAGGTAGAAAAGATGCATTATAAAGCAGCATGTACACATAATCCCATTTTGATATTTAACATGTATATTTATACAAACTCAAAACAGAATCTGGAAAGACACACGCTAAAAAATGTTAACAGTGGTTCTCTCAAGATGGTGAGAGTTATGAGAAACTGTTATTTTCTTCTTTGTGTCACTGTATTCTGCAAATCACCTAGGTACATTTTACATAGGAATAAGATGTTGGCTTTTAAAGTTTTTTAACTGAATGGCATCTACACAACTCATTAGGATTTCCTAGTTCAGCAAAGCAGATTCAGCCATGGGAGTTATTTGAAAGCCCCAGAGCTTCTGGGAAGAAATAACGGGTGCCCCTAGGTGGGATGATGCTTTTAGGGGCCATGTTCTGAGGGGGTGCAGGGGTGGAGATTGCAGAGGCTTCACCCCCTCTATGACTGAGATGGCTGCTATCAGCAAAGTCAGGGGCCCAGGCTCCTTTTTACCGTTTCCTGGGGAATGCTGGAGCCACCAAACCCTGCCCTGCCAGGGCCTGGAGGCCCCCAGCTGCCCCCTTGCTCACTCCACGCCCACCAGTCTTACGTAATCCGAGCCCAGGCAGCCAGGGCAAACACTGGCTGCTGAGCCAGGAGCGCCAAGGTGAGCCTGAATCAATAGTCGGAGTGTTGTTTTTCCTTCTTCGGCAAACAGACAGCGGGACCTCTCTGCCCGGGGCCACATAACTGTCCCCACATAGGGCCCCTAACTAGCCAGAAGCCAAGCCCCTGAAGGAAGGGGGGAAGCTGGGGGAGGTCCCAGCGGTGCCAATTGGGGGTATCCTGTCTCAGTACCAAGCTCCCTGAGCAGCGGCAGGACCCTGGATACCCCTACCACTTCCATGGCCAAGGCCACTCTTTGCCAAAGAGCAAGAGGAAGGCACCCCAGCTCATGCAGGCCCTGGGGAGCTAGAGAGGCAGGCTCACCACGGAGAACTCCTTGCTTCTCCAGAGGCTGGCCTTAGACACAACCGGCCTCCCTGACTGCTACAGTCCCACCCTGCAGGCTGGGGGGACTCCACACACAATTCCTGGAGTATTTTCAGTTTGGACCAAAATAACCTGACAGCTGATGGCAGGAGACATCTACAATATAGCTCCTGCACATCCCTGTGGGCAGAGGCCACAGGGCTCCAGGGTAGGCCTGGGAACCACAGCCCCATGACGCCTTGGGTGGCTGCTTCCAGAAAGCAGGCCTGGGCAATGACTGGGCAGCTAGGTGTCCCAGCCCTAGGGGATGGAGAGACCCCCCAAGTCCCTCATTTCTAGAGGATGTGGGACCCTGGGGAAAGAGCCATATAGGAACAGGGCTTCATCTCTCTTGCCACCACAACAGCTGCCCCTTGGGTCCAGATGTCATACAACCACCCCCCTGTCTCCCTGTCACCAACCACAGTGCTATGGGTCCTGCTGGAGCCCCCCAAATCGAGGCTGGGTTCATCTGGGTGTAGCCCAGATTCCATCACACTGTAGATGAAGCCGCAGCTGCTTGGCGTTAAAAGTGATTAACCAACTATTTAATTACCTTGCAGCACCCGGAAAGAAAGCAGGCTTCAGGCGCAACTGAACAGTCCCCCCAAAGAAAGAGGGCCAGCCTCCCTCTATCCAACATCTCCAGCCATGGTGAGGGGTGGGGATGACTCCCAGAAACTGAGGACCCCTCCCAGAGGGCTCTGCTACAGCATCTGGGACAAGGAAGGATCCCCCAAAAGAGTAAAGAACTGAAAACAATGAATGAATGGGTTTCTCCCCACCCCCATCCCAGACTCTGACTCACCCTCTTGAGTCCCAGTTTGTCTCAAACCTGGAAGCTTGCTGGATTTCTCATGATCCTGTCTCACATGGGACTCAGCTCCAGGCTGTGGCCAGAGAACGCTGTGGGTGCTCTTCCTGGCTGTGTTCTTGGCAAAGCCCTTTTCTCCCGATCCAGAACCTCCCGACACAGAGAGTCACTCTGGGCCACTCAAACTGCGCCCACCCCCAGGACCAACTGCTGTTTTGCAGGCAGGGGTCTGGGGGTCTGGCTCTGACAGAGCCGCAGGGCAGGCCACGGGAGGGCCACTCAACACCCAACCAGTCTCTCCCTCCAGCAGAGACACCACGCGAGGTCCTGTTACCAGCACTGAGAGGCTCGAGGGAAAGTATCGCTCCCAGTCCCTGCCCAATTATTTGCTGTGTGATCTTAAGTCATTTCCTCTCCATGCGCCTCAGTTTCCTTGGTGGTAAAAACTGCTAGACCAGCGGTTTTCAAACTTTTTTTTTTTTTAAAAGCCACAGAATCCCTTTTTAGAAATCAAATGCCCAATATAGGAAATAGTAAAACGAGGGTTGCTCCGCTTTGAGAAGGGGCCAGGCTTGGCCGCTGTCCTGTGCCGCGTCCACACCTGCTCAGCAGCCGCCCTCACCAGGCCACATCACCTGGGTTCCCCTAGCACTTCCCAGGTCATAAAGGGAATCCCAAAACTCCCCAGTAGAAGAGGGCCCGCACCCCAGGGGCCTGGCGGGGGTGGGGGGCGGTGGTAGAGGATGAAGGGAAAGCGGGTTCTGACTAGCCAAGTGACCGCCGTCAGACCTGTCTGGCAAGCAGGCCGCCCCTCGGTGCTGCCTCCCCGCGGGGGCACAGGGGCCTCGGCCAGGCCGCGGCAGAAGGCAGCCCCGGGACCTACCTGTGCCGGCCGCCGGCGCCCACGGATCCCCCACCTGAGTCCTCGCCGCACAGGTGTGCAGGCGGGGGCGAGGCCCGGGCGAAGGATCCCCCACCTCGCCCCCGGCCGCTCCTCCCCTCCCGGGCCGAACGTAGGCCCTCCTCGGCCGCGGAGTGGGCGAGCCGGTGGCGGCCCCGGAGGCGGCGGGGAGGTGGGAGCAGCCGGCGCCTCCGGAATTTTCTCCCCATCCCGCCCACAGCAGGGGCCCCCAGGCGCTTCCTGAGGTCAGAGGGCTCGCCCCGGCCCCACGCGGAAAAGTACCGGCCAGGCCCGGCGCGCTCAGGTGGGCTGTGGGGCACCCTCCCCGCTCCAGGCGGCTCCACCTTCGGGCCCGGCCCTGGAGCCAGTTCCCGAAAGCCGGCGGGCAGCCGGGCCCCGGGGGACGCGGGTCCGGGCTGCCCCGGCGCCAGTGCCTCGACCCTCCCGGGCCACGGAGCCCGCTCGCGGGACAGAACGGCCCGGCCCGGCCGGCTCCCTTCGGGCCCGGCTCCCAGGCGCGCTGCCTCCCCCGGGCCCCGGGCCCCGGGCCCCGCGCCCTCGCCGCTTACCCTGGGGAGCCCGGGCGGGGAAACTTTTTCCAGGCGAGCGCCGCGGAGATTCGGGCGCCCCTCGGCCGAGCCGAGAGCCCGGCGGCGGGGGCTTGGGCTCGGCGGAGTCCCCGCGCCCGGCGGCAGCGTCACGGCGCGGAGGCGGGGGAGGCGCCGCAGCGCGGCCTCGGCCGGGCCGGCGACCAGGGCAGGGCTCGGCCTGGGCTCCGGCTCCGGCTCCGGCTCCAGCGCGGGCGGGGGGCAGCGGCCGGGCCGCGGCGGCGCGGCTTGTTTACACGGGCCGCTGTCAGCGGCGGCGGCGGCGGCGGCGGCGGCCCGGGCTCCTCCTCCTCCGCCGCCGCGCCCCTCCCCCTCGCGGCGCCACCTCCGCGCTTCCCCGGCCGCCGCCGCCACCGGCCCCGGCGCGCCGGTCGCCCATGCCGCCCGGCCCGGGGCCCGCGTTCTCGGCACCAGCGCCGTGCGCTCCCAGCGCGTCCGGCCCCTGCGGCCTCTGGGGCGCCGCTGCCCCCGGCTCTCGGTAGGGGCAGGTAGGAAGTGGGGCCGGCGATCCCAAAGCCCTGGCGCGTCCCCCAGGCCCAGCTGCCGCGCCCCCGCCCCCGAACTTGGCTCTTAGCGCCGCGAGCTCCAGACGGCCGCGGAGACCTGAACTCGGAACCGAGGGAAAGGGTTTGGGGGAGGCACGCCGAGCCCAGCCTCGGCTGCACTCGTGGGGGGCTGGCCCTCTCCGCCCCCCCCCCCCGCCCGCTTCCCCACTCCTGGGCCGCGAGTTTGAACCTGACCAGGTTCAGTGCCCAGGGCCAGCGGACCTCGGGTCTTGCACTCCAAGGTCGAGGAAGGACCGCACGGCGGCAGGGCCAGCCTCCTCCTGGCCTGCTGGTAGAGGAGTCACGACTCCATCTGCATTTGTATAGACAGGTGGATATATGAGCAGAAGTAGCCCACCTCCTTTTAATATTTTTAGCTTTTTTTTTTTTTAAAACATCAATCGCTTGCCAGGCACCAGGCCAGTCACTTCACATTATCTCCTCCTTATGTACATGATTTAATCCACGTAATCCTTTCAGGCTGACATTATTAATCCCATTTTACAGATAAGGAAACTGAGGCGCACAACGATTAAATAATTTTCCCAAAGTCCCACAACCAGCAGGCCTCAGATCCTGCAAGAGACTGGGTGTTTGGCAGAGCCGGAATCCAAGCTACTTGTAATATGCCAGCCGGAGCCTCTCCCTCCCTGGGCCCTAGAAAACGTTTGTGCTACTTGGCCGAGGCTGACGCTGCTTGAGCTGAGAAAGAAAAGAAGGAAAATGTGGCCAAGAGCTCCCCAGGCTGGGTTATTCCAAGGTCGCAGAGCAGCCTGTGCCCATCCCTTCTGGCTCCCTGTGAGACAACCTGGCTGCACAGGATTAGCCTGTGGCCTCCTTAACACAGGTTCCCAAAAAATGAAAAAAAAAAAAAATCCCCTGAGTATGTCCTATGAGCCAGGCAACACTGAGAGCTCTTTTCCTGTGTCAGCCCATTCTATCCTCACCACAAGCCCCATGAGGTGGGTACAGTACATTTTCCTTTAAGTACCTTTGATGTATCACTGTCTACGTTTTATAGAGCAGGAAACTGAGGCCCAGAGAGGTTAAATCATGATTATTCCTACGGCAACTGGTGAAAATCAATCAGCAAACCGGTTCACATCCCTGGGGCAATATTTTGTACTATGACACCTTAGATAAGTTCATTTCTCAGAGACGTCCTCAATTTACCCCCTATAAAATGGAGATAATATTTAATGAGTGGGATCAGGTATTTGGGGCACCTTTACAAACTCTGAAAAAGGAAACACGAGGAACAATGCCAGGTCCTCTAAGCTGAGCTGGAAGATAAGTCCAGTTGGCTTTGTCCCAAAGTGGGGACTTCCCCTCTGCCAAGGAACTAAGACTTGTAGGGGCCACACTGGGTAGTGCCAGCCACAGTTTGGAGAACAATAATACTCCAGCAGTCAGACTGAGGCAGGAAGTGAGTCAGGCTTCTTCCTCAGGGTGAGGAAGAGAGCTCCATTGAGGGAAAAGAGGGACAGGGCTGGCCCCACCTAGCCTCGGAGTCCCCCTTGCCCTGAGGCCTGGAAGAAAGGTCAGCCCAGAAAAAAAGCAATACTTTATCTCGAGCTCTTGCCCTTAAGAAGAAAAAAGCAATACATTCAGCCCCAGGTGCCCCACCCATCCTGGAGGCTGGCCTCAGGGGGGCCTGCAGTGGATCTTTGGAGCGGGAGGGGCTTGCCTGGGCTCAGATGGCTGCCACCCAGGCAGAGGCAGTGGGAAGTGGTGCTTCCCAGTCTCTCCAATCCTGCCTTTGGCATAAGACAAAATCCCTTAAATTGTGTTCTCAGTGGTGCATCCCTGAGAAGGAGGAATGAGGACAGAATTGGGTAGGTGAGCACCTCTCTCTGCTTCACCCAGTGTGGATTATATTTTAGGGTTTCACATGAGATTGTATTTTACAACAGTTCTGTTGCTAAAAAGAACTTGAAAGCCACTCTCCATGAGACCCCTCTGGAAAAAATCCCATTTGACCACAACTGGTGACTTCTGCCTTCATCTCACTGCAGCACGTCCTATGGGCAAGTATCGTTCAGTTTATCGCTGTCAACTGGCCCCGGAGCCCAGGTCTCCTGACTTGGAGCCCTAGGGGACCAAGGTCCTCTGGATACCACCTTATCAGTTTTACCCAAGAGTTAGCAGGACTTGGGCATGTGACAGAAGGCTGGAGATGAGTGGGAGGAGCAGGGCCTGAAGGGTAGATGGGGGTGTGAAAGGGCTCCCACTTTCCCAGCAGGGCTCTGGGAGGAAGAGTCCAGCCAGGCCTCTCTTAATCCTTACATTTGAGGCTAATCCAGGGAGGCTCCTGAGAATAACAGTCTTTAATCCACCCAGTCATTCCGACTCCAAGCCCCTCTATTGTCTCCTTGGGGCTCTCTGGGAGTCTTCTCTGAAATCTCTGGCCCACCTCAGCAAATGAAGCCTTCAGCAGCAGCACCCACACCTGGTTTTAATCAGAATGTCTATACAACATTCAGACGTGCATAGAAGGGTGCACGACAAAATTTCGTTGCTGTTTCTCTCCAAATGAAACGGTCACATTTGCCATCTTTGTCTTCTTCTTTTTGCTTACCTGCATTTTTCAGGAATGCTTACAAGAACTTCTAAAATAATTAAACCTTTAAGTCAACGCAAAATCAAATCAAGTGTGTCCATACTTCACCATCCAGCTCCAGAACACCTGGGATCCATCCTGGCCGCTGCTGCTTCCCCGCCACGGGCTGGAGTCAGGCTCCTATCCCGTCCTAGGGCGGGGCCCTTCCAGTTCTGGCTAAACCACTTTGGGAAAACCTTCTTTATACGACAGGCAAATAGGGTGTCTGTGGGTGGGGGGAGGAGCTAGAAGGGATTCGGTGGTGACATAACTGGTAGCGCTGGGACTGGATCCAAGCATGGCCAGCCCTTCTCATTTCCCCCATTTATTGGGGTGGGTCTGTGCTTACCTTCTGCCTGGCTTTGCTGCATCCCAGCCACTGGCTGACTTCATGGCTTCCTTCTGCCAGCTCCAGCTCCTTGTCTTCTGCCTTGCCTTCTGTGGCCAGCCAGTGCTGCCACAATTATGTACCTAATAAATGCTCTGGGTGCAGTCTCGCCTGGCCGACATTCAATGAGCAGCTGCTGAATGCTGGGCTCTGGTGCCCCAGAGCTGGGTCCCTTAGAGCTTGTCCACTGGTTGCCGGAGACCACCTCTAGTAGGGTTGCACGGCGGTACCTAGGACATACCAGGATCTTGCTGAGCCTGTGCCTTCCCTGGCCTTCCAGCTTCAACAAGCCTGCTGCCCTTCCTGCTCTCTTGATTCAGAAATATGAATCACTCAATCCTCATAGCTTCTTTTTGTTTGTTTGTTTGTTTTTTGGGTTTGTTTTTTTTTTTTAATCAGAGTCTCACTCTGTCGCCCAGGCTGAAGTGCAATGGCCTGATCATGGCTCACTGCAACCTTTGCCTCCCCGGTTCAAGCAATTCTCATGCCTCTGCCTCCTGAGTAGCTGAGATTACATACAGGTGCACGAAACTTTTTTTTTTTTTTTTTTGAGACAGACTTGCTCTTGTTACCTAGGCTGGAGTGCAATGGCGCGATCTCGGCTCACCGCAACCTCCACCTCCTGGGTTCAAGCAATTCTCGTGCCTCAGCCTCCCGAGTAGCTGGGATTACAGGCACACACCACCATGCCCAGCTAATTTTTGTATTTTCAGTAGAGATGGGGTTTCACCTTGTTGACCAGGATGGTCTCAATCTCTTGACCTCGTGATCCACCCGCCTCGGCCTCCCAAAGTTCTGGGATTATAGGC